TCTCTCTCTCTGCTTCTCTTGTCTTCTTTTCTTTTTCTCTCTCTTTTTTTGTCTTCTCATCTTATTTTTATTTTTGAACCTGTTTTTTGTCTTCCTTCATCTCTTTTCTATCTTGATTGATAAAAAATAAACAGTTTTTCTTTTTAACTGGCTCTTAGATTTATTGTTTTTATTTATTGTCGCTATCATTATTATTATTATTATTGTTGTTTTTGTTATTATTGTTATTGTTATTCTTATTCTTATTGTTGTTAAGGTAATAATAATAATAATAGTAATGATAATAATGGTAATAATAATAATAATAATAATAATAATAATAATAATAATAATAGTAATAATAATGATAATGATAATAATAATAATAATAATAATAGTAATAATAATGATAATAATAATAATGGTAATAATAATAATAATGGATGCCTGATGTACGTATGTATGTATGTATGCGTGTGCGTATGTATGTATGTATGTATGTACATATAAATATATACATACGTACACAAAAGAAATGTAGTTTCTTGGAAACCCACTTATATCTCCCCTTCAGAGCCGACAAAAATGAATAACTAGCAACTCGACACTGTTGCATGTTTATTTTATGTATTTATCGTCTTTTTTATTACTTTTCTTTGTGTCATTGTTTGACGTAAAAGTGATGGATGACATGACTGTGGCCTGACGAGATTTATTCCAGTCTGTACTTTTTTTTTAGGTTCGAGATGAATATTTACGAACATTATTATTGGTGTTGTTTTTATTATTTTATTGTGATTTGCTGATGCTGTTATTATTATTTTCATTGGGATTTTTTAAGCTTGATAGCATCATCTTCATCTTTATCTTTATCTTCATCTTTATCTTTATCTTCAACTTCGTTTTCATCTTCATCATCATCATCATCATCATCATCTTCATCTTTATCTTTATCTTTTTTTTTCTTCTACCTCTTCTTCCTCCTCCTCCTCTTCTTCTTTCTCCTCCTCCTCTTCTTCTTCTCTCTCCTCCTCCTCTTCTTCTTCTTTCTCCTCCTCCTCTTCTTCTTCTCTCTCTTCCTCCTCCTCTCCTTCTTCTTTCTCCTCCTCCTCTTCTTTTTCTTCCTCCTGTTCCCCCTCATCATCATCATTGCAATGAATCAGAAATACACGACCATATTTTATCCAGTGTCGTTCATGGACAAATAAGGAAGGAACATACCTCGCCCCTCCTTCCCCCCCTTTACCCTTCTCCACCCCCTCCCTCCTCCTCTCCCTCTCCCTTTTACCTCTCTCCTATCCCCTCCTTCCTCCTTCTCCTTTTCCCCTCACATCCCCTCTTCCTTCCTTCCTTCTTCCTTCCTTCAGCTCCCTATCCCTACCCTTATCCGCCTCCCCTTCCCTCCCCTTACCCGCCTCCCCACCCCTACCCTTACCCGCCTCCCCACCCCTCCCCTTACCCACGTCCCCTACGCGCCTAAAGGTGGCTTATTAAAAAGGCGAAATTGCAACCTTGATTTTTTTTTTGTACAGGTAGCCTTGACATTCGCCTCTACCCGGGTAATGAGTCACTTGCGATCTCGCTTTTGACGATTGCATTGCGAGTAAATTGCTGTTGCATTCTGGGAGAGGGAGGATGGAGAGGGGGATGGAGAGGGAGGTGACGGGGATGGAGAGGGGGATGGAGAGAGGGATGGAGAGGGGGGATGGAATGGGAAGGGGGTTGGAGTGCGAAGGGGCTAGGGAGGGGTTAGGGAGGGGCATGGAAGGGGCATAGAAAGGGCATAGAAGGGGCAGTAGCGTAGAAGAAGGGAATGGGAAAGGAACGGGGAAGACTTGAGGAGGGGAGGAAGGAAGGAGAAATGGAATGAGGTAGAGGGAGAGGGGAAGAGGGAAGGAGGTAAAGGGAGGGGAGGGAGGAAGGGAGACGAAAGGGAGAGAGGGGGGAAGCAGTGCTAACATCATACATCAGATTTATTGGGTAATACTAAGAACATTACAAAAACATCAACAATTCGGCCCCTCCAGCAACTAACGGCCTTTTTATTTTATTTTATCGTGACATAAAATGACTTATGTTACTTGACCAAACCTTAACCTCCCCCCACACCCAACCCTCTGTCGTGTTTGTCTTTTTTTCTCAATTTTCTTTTTCATTATATACACATTTCAATTCAACACATACACACACACACACACACACACACACACACACACACACACACACACACACACACACACACACACACACACACACACACACACACACACACACATATACACACACACACATATACACACACACACATATACACATATCCACACGCACACATACACATATACACACACATACACATCTGTATGTGTGTGTGTGTGTGTGTGTGTGTGTGCGTGCGTGTGTGTAGCTTTATCACCTGGAAACAAGCTCTCCCCTCAAACAGCTCCATCTTTACTTTTGACGTGAACTTCCGAATCCTTCATTTCTCCCCCCCCCCCACCCCTGCCCCAGCTTCCAGGTTACTAATGCAGGTTTGACTTGAGCATTTGAGGGAAGGGCCTGCCACGGCCGCCACTTACCATAGGCCTACCGTACGTAATGTACGTAGATTTATACGCCCTAAGTCCCAGCTGAGTGAGTG